TTCTCCTCTTCTTCTTCTTCTTCTTCTTCCCATATTATTCAGATTCTCCCTCATTACCCGTCCCTCCTCCGCCCTTTTCTCTTCCTTCCTCCTACTGGTGCTGCTACTGCTCCTCCTCCTTCTCATTATCCTGCTCTTCCTCTCTGCAATTGCTGCTGACCATCATCTTCTGTCTCGTCATCGTCATAGCACATCCGCATCCTCCTCCTCCTCCTCCTTCTCCTCCTCCTCCTCCTCCTCCTCCCTCATCCATCCTCTTTCCCTCCATCCACTCCTCCTGCTCCTCCCCGCTCCTCCTCCCTCCTCCTCCTCCTCCTCCTCCTCCTCCTCCTCCTCCTCCTCATCCTACTCCTCCTCCTCCTACTCCTCCTGCTCCTCCTCCTGCACCACCTGCCACTAACGTCGTACCTTGGCCGCCCCGCCTCTCCTGAAGTCGTGCCGCGCGACACGGATAACGAAGTCCGTCGACGACTGGACCTCCCATTCCGGAGGCGCAGAGGCGCCGTTCTGCTCGCCACCATCCTCATCCTCGTCCTCGTCCTCCTCCTCCTCCTCCTCCTCCTCCTCCTCTTACCGCTGCTGCTGCTGCTGCTGCTGCTCATCTTCCACCAAGTGCGAGCCTTGGTGTTGGGAGATCCGCCTTGCAGGTTCAATTCGCAGTGCTGCGTTACCCCTAGCCGCACGGATGCCACGCGTGTCTGTTCCAGTGGTGCCTTCTGGCGGGTATGTACTGGGTTTATTTCCAACATGCGTCGAGCGTGTAAACCATCGATAAATGTGACCTGTCTCCTCCTCATCATCATCATCACCATCATCAGTATGGTCATCAGCATCAGCATCAGCATCAGCATCAGCATCATGATCATCATCATCATCATCATCACCATCACCATCACCATCACCATCATCATCATCATCATCAGCATCATCATCATCATCATCATCATCATCATCATCATCATCATCATCTGCATCAGCATCATCATCATCGTCATCATCACCAGCATCATCATCACGACTACCACCATCATCATCATCACCACCACAATAATCATCAATAATCTTCATCCTCGGCCTTGCCGCCATCATCTTCATCACCATTATCACCACCATCGCCAGCATCATCGTCATCAGCATCATCAGCAGCATCATCACTATCATTACCATCATCAGCATCATCACTATCATCAGCATCATAATCATGACCATGCTCATGATCATACACATAATTATCATCATCATCATCATCATCATCATCATCATCATCATCATCATCATCTTCATCATCATCATCATCATCATATTCACATTCATCATCGTCATCGTCAACAGCATCAGCATCACCAGCATCAGCATCGTCAGAAGCATCATCATAATCATCAGCATCAGCACTAGCAGCAGACACACTATCATCATCACCACCACCATCATCAACATCATCATCAGCAGCAACAGCAACATCATAATCGTCATCATCGGCCTCGTCGCCACCATCATCACCATCGTCACCATCATCGCCAGTGTTGGCATCATCATCGTCATCACCACCACCATCATCACCACCACCATCATCATCATCATCGTCATCATCATCAACATCATCAACATCATCATCGTCATCATCGTCAGCATCATCATCAGCGTCTCCCACACCACCACCATAATCATCGTACTTGATACGTCGTGAGTCGTATATGTTGTATGCGTGTAAATGCACGCGCGCTCTCTACATCGCACCGTAGGATCCTACACGACAAACTGCACAAATCGCCCAATCCGCGATCCCGAGCAGGCATGGGACATGATGGCGTCGCCAGAGGGGTGTGGAGTCACCCCATGGGGCGGCGGCCCGCCGTCTCACCATCGAGCGCTGCAGGGCATGCCCTGCCCCCCCCCCTGGCCAGAGCCCACTGCAGCGCCTACCCCCGCCACCGCCCTCGCCAGCGCTTGCCAGCGGGGGGAGGCGGGGGGAGCCAGCACGCGGGCAGGGATGGGGGCCAAGGAGGAGCGGCGAGCGCACGGCCGCCCACGAGGGCGGTCGCCGCAACAGCTCCGTCACCCACCGCCGAGCCTCACCGGCCCACGCTCGCACCCCGCCCACCGTTCTTCTTTGCCAGCCTGCCTGCCTTCTCGCTGCGCTGCAGCACACGCCTCTCCAGCCTTCTGCGAGCACCTCCCCCCCTGCCCCCACTCCAAACACTGCGCGGCCAACCACCCTTCCTGCGCGACGCCGGCCTCCTCCTGCCATCACCTCCCCCCTTTCCTCCCCAGACCCCCGACGTCATGATTTTTTCATGACGTCGACCCCCCGAGGTCTCGACCCATTCCCCGGGACCGGTTTTTCGTCCTGAGTCGTTTTTCGACGGTCCCGAGGGCCAGCAAAGGCCCCCAAAGGTCAAAAATAATGAAAAACCTCCCGTCGTGATTTTTTCATAAGTCGAGGGGGTCTGGGCCCTTTCCTCCGAGGAGCCCCATATCCGTACCCACCGCCCGGAGACCGCCGTCCTGGGACCCCAGCGGGCGGTGGACATGGCAATATTTCGGCCTCAGGGAGCCCGAATCGATCCGTAGCCACCGCCCGCCGAGGCCCCCCCAAAGCCCCGCCATGCCGCTGGTCCTCCGCCGCCCCGCCGCGTGGTCCTTCCCCTCTCGGAGCTCCCCTTCTCTCCCCCCCGCCTCGCGCTGGCCACCCTCCCCCTCCCCTTCTCCCCCTCTCCTTCCTTCCCCTCGCCTTCTCCCCCTCTCCTTCTCCCCCTCTCCTTCTCCCCCTCTCCTTCTCCCCCCTCTCCTTCTCCCCCTCCCCCTCCCCACTCTCCTTCTCCCCCTCTCTTTCTCCCCCTCGTGCTGGCACCCCGCCCCCCCTCGTGCCGGCGCCCCCTCTGCTTCTCCCCCCCCCCCTTCGTGCTGGCCGCCCTGCCCAGCAGGAGAGGCGTGCCTCGCCCACGCTCCCCGGCGAAGGCTGGGGGGAGGGGCGGGAGCACCGAGGGCCTCGAGCGTTTGCCGGCACGGTCCGCATCTGGAAGGCTCGAAAGGGGGGAGCGAAGTGCTCGCACAAATTCGTGCGGGCGCGGGACGGGAAGGCCGCGCCGCGCCCGGAGGACAGCGGGGGACGAAGGGGAGATGCGGAGAGGGATAGAGAGAGATAGACAACAGAAAAAGAGACCAGACCAGCAACTTCGGAGCTCGGAAGAGATCTGATACATGAGGAGAGGAGACAGGGAGACAGAAAGAGAGAGAGAGAGGTGAGAGACAGAGACACAGAGACAAAGAGAGAGAGAGAGACGGAGGCACAGAGAGCGAGGAGATGGGGATACATATATATATATATATATATAGATGCACATATGTATATAACTATATGGAGAGAGACAGAACGAAGGAGAGACAGAGAGAGAGAGAGACACACGGGGTGTATATACATATGTATACACGTGTACAAGCATGTGCATACATACGTATGTAGTGCATATACAGACATATAATGTATGTTTGCACACAACGCTATGTATGCATATACCCTTGCCTATGTGTTTACAGCCGGGGGGGGGAACCCGCACCTACATCTCAACACGGGACCCCCT